AAGCCCCCCCCCCCCCCCCCAATAGCTAGCAATCCAAAACAGTCCAGTGGAGCCTGAGCGGTGGGTGTTGTCTTCTGACACACTTTCGATGATGTCAGGGGGTGTGGCATCTGCAAATAAATTATGCTAATGAGCTCCTGCACCTCTTTTTCTACGAAATGACCCCTGGCTGTGAGTTCTATTCTTCTGTAAGATCTTTTCTTTCTTCGTTGGTTTCACACTCCCCAGCATGTTTGCACGATTACCGTTTCTTATATTTGCTCTCTGGCAAAGATAAAGGCTGTTAACCCATCCACAGCTTGTTATTTAATTGGCGCCATGAAGAGTCATCCAAAAGTTCAATTAATTCACGCCTAAAGGCTTATTTGCATAACAGGTGCTCTTTTTGCACTAGAACTGGAACCGCCTCTCTGATCTTCTGATGGAGCTCCGTTCCGGCCAGTGTTCCAGTAGTAAAGAAATTCCCTCTCCCTCCCGGATACTTTCCCTTTCTCCAGGGATTCAGATGATGAAGAAGAAGAGATTGGATTCATACCCCGCCCTTCACTACCCAAAGAGCGGCTGACAATCTCGTTTCCCTTCCCTTCCCCACAACAGACACCCTGTGAGGGAGGTGGGGCTGAGAGAGCTCTTTCGAGGACTGCCCTTGAGAGAACAGCGCTGAGGGAACTTGTGACTGTCCCAAGGTCACACCAGCAGCTGCCTCTGACCTCTGAAGGGACACGGAGCTTGTATTCATTTGCTTGCTCTGCATGCAGTGGCAAAATACCAGCTTAATCAAACTACAGGGAATTCTGCGGAAGACCAGGACTTTGGAGACAACCAGCCAGTTCCTTCCCGCTTCCCCAGGACTCCCGAATTCTTTCTTCCCGCACCTGAAGGCCTTGCTCACAGGTTCTGGAGTTGCAAAAAAAAAAAAAGGCAGGGGGGAGATCCAGGTAACCTAAATCGCTCTTCGTTACCGTTCCCCCCCACTTAAGAGTGGCAAAGTAATCTTCTAAGCAGAGCGCATCACTTGCTGGTCAGCAACCAGGCGGAGGGACGGCGTGCGGAATGGGCGCAGCCGAGTGCGTGATGGTGGAAAGTGGCGTCGAGTCGCAGCTGACTTACAGCAAACCCGGAGGGTTTTCAAGGCAAGAGACGGTCAGAGGTGGGTTGGCCATCGCCTGCCTCTGCGTAGCGACACTGGACTTCCTTGGTGGTCTCCCATCCGAGTAGTAACCAGGGCCGACCCTGCTTAGCTTCTGAGATCTGACGAGATCGGCTAGTCTGGGCCATCTGGGTCAGGGCTGCCCAGCTAAGTATATCAGTTTGAATTACGCAAAGAAAAGGTAGGGGGCAACTTGTGTAGAGGAAGAGGAAAAGATTGGATTTATACCCCACCCTTCACTCCAAGTGAAGGGTGGCTGACAAACTCCTTTTCCCTTCCCCTCTCCACAACAGACACTGGCTGTGAGGTCGGTGGGGCCGAGAGAGCTCTTGACAAAAACGGCTCTTGAGAGGACAGCTCTGACAGAACTATGGCTTGCCCAAGGTCATCCAGCAGCTGCGAGTGGAGGAGTGGGGAATCAAACCCGGTTCTCCCAGATTAGAGTCCGCGCACTTAACCACGACACCAAACCACCAATGCTCCCTCTAAGCTGTGGAGTCCTGTGAGCAAAAATTCAAGTCTATGAGCTACTGGCCTTAAAGTTGTGAGCGAGCGATTTGGCTGCTGTGTGGACCAATTTGCTCCGGAGCCCTCCTTCCCGAGCTAAGACAAAAGTGTGTGAGCCGGAGGCTTAAAAAAACTGTGAGCTAGCTCACACTGACCCAGCTTAGAGGGAACACTGCAAACCACTACACTTCAAGGTGTAGAATTTCAAGGGTGTTGTGATGCCAGAATGTTGTACGTTTTTGCTAACCGGCAGGACGGGGGGGGGGGAGGGTTCAGGCGGACAGCCTTGCTAGGGGTGGGGGATTGTCTCAGTGCGGAACTTCGGCACCGCTTCTGTTTCTTTGTGCTTCTGTTTCGACAGTCGGGCTGGCTCACATCTCCCCATCCCTGCTTCCCTTGCAGGGCTCGGGACCTGAGTGCGGAAGAGGAGGGGGACATCTTCCTGGAGGCGGGGGCCCCCAAGCGTGCCCACGGCCACGAGCCCGACGGGTTTCTGATGCCATCCCTGAGCCTGGTAGGTGTGAAAGTTCTCTCGCTCATCCCCATCTCCCCCTCCCCCTCCCTGCAGCCCAGGGTGCGCTCGTCATGAAAGCCAGTGCGGTTGAGTAGGTAGAGTGTCGAACTAGGACTCTGGGTGACCCGGGTTTGAATCCCCGCTTCTATCATGGAAGCTTGCTGGGTGATCTTGGGTCCGTCACAGACTCTCACCCTGGCCTACCTCGCAGGGTTAGGAACGTAAGAGAAGCCAATGTTGGATCAGGCCAAGGGCCCATCCAGTCTGACACTCTGTGTCACACAGTGGCCAAAAACACCAGGTGCCCTCAGGAGGTCCAGCAGTGGGGTCGGGACACTAGAAGCCCTCCCACTGTGCCCCACCAAACACCAAGAAGACAGAGCATCACTGCCTCAGACAGAGTCTTCCATGCAGTAGCCAAAACCCAGGGGCCAATAGGAGATCCACCATCAGGGCCAGAACTCCAGAAGTCCTCCCACTCTTGCCCCCCCAAGCACCAAGAAGACAGAGCATCACTGCCCCAGACATAACAACACAAGAGAAACCATGTTGGATCAGGCCAATGGCCCATCTAGTCCAACACTCTGTGTCACACAGTGGCCAAAACCCAGGGGCCATCAGGTGGTCCACCAGCAGAGCCAGAACTCCAGAAGCCCTCCCCCTCTTGCCCCCCCCAAGCACCCAGAAGACAGAGCATCCCTGCCCCAGACATAAGAACATAAGAGAAATGTTGGATCAGGCCAATGGCCCCTCCAGTCCAACACTCTGTGTCACAAAGTGGCCAAAACCCAGGTACCATTAGGAGGTCCACCAGTGGGGCCAGAACTCCAGAAGCCCTCCCACTCTTGCCCCCCCCCAAGCACCAAGAATACAGAGCATCCCTGCCCCAGACATAAGTAAAAGAAGTCATGTTGGATCAGGCCAATGGCCCATCCAGTCCAACACTCGGTGTCACACAGTGGCCAAAAACCCAGGTGCCATCAGGAGGTCCACCAGTGGGGCCAGAACTCCAGAAGTCCTCCCACTCTTGCCCCCCCCCCAAGCACCCAGAAGACAGAGCATCACTGCCCCAGACAGAGTCTTCCATGCAGTGGCCAAAACCCAGAGGCCATCAGGAGATCCACCAGCAGGGCCAGAACTCCAGAAGCCCTCCCACTCTTGCTCCCTAAGCACCAAGAATACAGAGCGTAACTGCCCCAGACAGAGCCTTCCATCTATACCTTGTGGCTGAGAGCCACTGATTGACCCCCAGAACGTTTCTCCAGTCCCCTGTTGAAGCCATCTGTGCTTGTTGCAAGAAAACGGAGGAGGGAAGAGCGATGTTCTAAAACCGCTTTTGAGTCCCAAGTCGGGAGGAAAACGGGATATATACCTAAACACAAACAAATGCAAATGCGTCGGTTTGGCACGCTCACCCCTTTCCCCCAGCCGGGACTGCGGGGGGCTCCTCCTTCAGGGGACCTGCTCTCTTCTCCTTCCAGGGTTTCCTCTTGAGTGTGGAGGAGTGTCTGGATGCCAGAGCTGAGCGCGGCTTCGGAAGCAACATGGTTCTGGGCAGGAAGCTGCTGTCTCTGGAGGAGCCAATGAGTGAGCATCACGCACTTTGTTTCTGTTGCCGATTGGCCTGTGTGGATGAAGGCCGTGGGGTGGGCGGGGCAAAAGAGATGGCGGGGATCAAGGCCACACGCGTGCAGACGCGTTCTGTGCCTTCCGGGTCAGTCACCCTAGTGACCGTTTGTTTACTACCGTTCTTTCTAGTCCGGCTTTCTCACTGGGCCTCCAGGTGGATTACGCAGCATAAGGTAAAGGGTAAAGGTCTCCCTTGCTCGAAAGCCAGTCGAGTCCGACTCTAGGGGTGCGGTGCTCATCTCCGTTTCCAAGCCGATGAGCCAGCGCTGTCCAAAGACGTCTCCGTGGTCACGTGGCCGGCATGACTAGACGCCGAGGTGCACGGAACGCTGTTCCCTTCCCACCGAGGCGGGACCTGTTTGTCGACTTGCAATTTATTGCTTTTGAACTGCTGGGTTGGCAGGAGCTGGGGTCCGAGACGGGAGCTCACTCCGTCCTGCGGCACTCGGGTCTCGGACTGCTGAACTACCGACCTTCCGGTCTGCAGTTTAGCATCTTAACCACTGAGCCACTGCGGCCCCTACGTGGCATAAGTCAGTGCAGTCCACAGGGTGGAACATACAGTAAACAGTGCTGTAGGATCTGACCTGTAGAAATCTGGATGCAACCAAAGGTGAAGCAGAGCCATAAGTATTAATGAGACACATTAGACAAATGCAAGAAATGACAAAGGAGGAGCCTGTAACAATAAACACAGTGGTATAGTTTACAGCAGAGTTAGTATGAGCCAGCTCACAGTTTTTTAGCCTCCGGCTCATGCATTCTTGCCTTCGCTCAGGAAGGAGGGCTCCAGAGCAAACTAATTGATGCAGCAACCAAATCGCTCGCTCACGACTTTTAATGCCAGTAGCTCACAAAGTAGAATTTTTGCTCACAGGACTCCACAGCTTAGAGGGAGCACTGGTTCACAGTCCCTAACCCAGGAGCCTCCCAACGTTTTATGATTCATTTTTGTTTTAATTTTCTCAAAAAGAAAGTGGGGTACGCAAGGGAAGAGGGGGAAATAGGGGGAAAACAGAGATTCATGAAGTTTATCAAATGTCATGGGTTGTTACATACGACGAGTAAAATGAGATATATTAGTAAGAATACATATTTCAGAGATAGAACCCATGGGCACATTTGGAAGTCGGATGCAAGGTGGTGGGCGTAGCCTAGGGTTGCCAAGTCCAAATTTCTTAGTAGCGGGGGGACTCCAGGATGTCACCCGGAAGCGTCACGCACGTTGGGGGCGGGGCCACAGTCATCCGAGGGAAAACTATAGTGTATTCCCTCGGATGATAGAGCGTCCCCCCACAACGTGCCCGATGAGATTGCGTTACCTCCGGGCATGTCACACACACCGGGCACGTCACGTGCTTTGGGGGTGGGGTCCGCTGGCAGGGAATGGGCCTCTCAAGCCCCGGGGGGACTTGGCAACCCTAGCACAGCCACAAAACGGCCACTGCAGGAGGGTGGCGCCAAACACAAAATGTTAGGAAGTGAGGTTACGTGTACCTCTTACACCAATTTCACACAAGAGCTGCGCCGCTGTCATGCCTCCCTTTGCCCCACTTCTATTGATCAATTTCCCACCCGAAGCCGCACGGTCGCAGGTCAAAACGGATTTCCCCCGCGGTCTCGTGATCCTGTTTTTTGAGGATCACGAAACCGTGGGGGAAATTGGGCGAAGCCCCGCGGGTTAAAACGTGGCCCTGCGGCTTCGAATGGGAATCGACCGATAGCAGCGGGGCAAAGGGAGGCGCGACCGCGGCGCAGCTCTTGTGTGAAATCGGTCTTATAGTACCTGAACAAAGTTTGAGTCCAGTGGCACCTTTAAGAGCAGCAAAGTTTAATTCTGGGCGTAATCGTTCATGTGCGAGCACACTGCTTCAGATACGAATCTGAAGAAGTGTCCGTGCCCACGAAAGCTTATACCTAGAATTAAGCTTTGTTGGTTGTTGCAGGGGGGAAAAATAATTTACCTGGTCACCCGACTTCCACCTGGAGTACCAGCTTCAATTTGGTTCACTGGTCTCGCTGGGGTTCTAGCAGGACACCAGGTCTTGGTTGGAAAGAGAAGAGGACGCGATAATCCTGCAGTATTATCTCTGTATTTGAACTTTACCATAAGAAAAAAAAGCTCAGAGCATTCCCCAAAAGCGGCCGTGGACACAATTAAGAAAGAGACGCCTCTTGACCACCAACCGAAGACCCCGAAAGGGCGCTCAGGAACTGGTGCTGAACAACGGAACCTGGACAATATTTATTCCCTTTTGCGAGATAATAAAAAACAGACATCAGAGGTCCCGTGGGAATTTCAGGAGCTCACCGGTAGCCAGACCCTTCTCCTGGATGGCACCATGAAACCATAAACCTTTCCTCCCTGAGGGCTATCTAGTAGGCCAGAGCCTCTGGCCAGAGCAGGCGAGGTATAGACAAAAATATCTAGATATTACTCCTTGGGGCTTAGTATGTTTTGGCTAAAGGAACGTGGGCTGTGGGTGCGAAACCGTTCGTTCACAGCCAGGGACCGTTTAACACTAAGAAGGAGACAGTGGCCATAACTGCAGTGCTTCATGGGAAGAAACCGAAGTCTGCGTTTGCTACATCCATTCAATATAGCTTATACATTAAATAGCCGCGTCTCCCTTAATACAAAATTCTGCCACATGGGTCTTAATGGTGCCACCGGACTCAAACCTTGTCCTGTTGCTTCACGCCAACATGGCTGCACAGCTGAATCTATCTCATAGTAACTCTTCAGTACTTGAGGCAGAAGCTCTACTTGCCAGGATGCCTTTTAATCTCCACAGCCAGGGGTCATTTCCTGCAGGAGCGCACAGGAGCGGAGCTCCGGCAGTAAGGAGCCCGGGGGGTGGGCACATGCAACAAGCCCCACCCCCTGCTCTCAGCAGCCCTCAGTTGGGCCACAAGAAGCAGCCAGGTAAGTTGCAGAAAAAATCCCCCTCCGGCCCGCCCGCCTTCAGGTACAAGCTCTCCCTCCTCTGTGAGGGCAGATCTGCGCGCTCCCACCCCCTATAGCTAGCAATCCAAAACAGTCCAGTGGCACCTTTAAGACCAAGTTTTATTCAGGTACAAGCTCTCCCTCCTCTGCGAGGACAGATCTGCATGTTCCCCCCCCCATAGCTAGTGATCCAAAACAGTCCAGTGGCACCTTTAAGACCCAGTTTTATTCAGGTACAAGCTCTCCCTCCTCTGTGAGGACAGATCTGCACATACATTATACCTGCAGGGCCGATCCGCCCCCCCCCCCCCCCCCCCAATAGCTAGTGATCCAAAACAGTCCAGTGGAGCCTGAGCGGTGGGTGTTGCCTTCTGACACACTTCTGGTGATGTCATGGGGTGTGGCATATGCAAATGAGTTATGCTAATGAGCTCCTGCACCTCTTTTTCTACGAAATGACCCCTGCACATGGGGATCCTTTGCGTCTCTTTGGTGTCAT